GTAATTAGCCGCTTATAAAAGCGATGTCGGACACTTCTTTATGGGCCGCTTTGACGTTCGTTTGAATAAAACATAAACAGAAAGGGCGTTTTTCAGGTTCAATTGAAGAATTAAGACATTGGTTTGAGAATAATTTATATTGACAAATGAGGTGTCTCGCTCGCCACTACATACGGTGAATACAAATGTTATCGAAAGCTTATTTGCAATTCGAAAAGACGACGGTCGGATAGCGACTAGTTTTTGTGACGAATTGTGGCCGCGGTCCGAGCGATTTTCGAAACTTGATGCGAACCCAGGAGCGCACTGTAATGAACACAGTATCTAGGAAAGGATAAGAAACATTCCTAATAAGTTCCGAGAGGTCATGAAATATATTATTTTTATACTCTACACTGATGAAGTGTCGATTATGGTTATGAACGATCCGGCTCGAAGGACCAAACTGTTGCGAAATTAATGAATATGAATCGTGAAATCAATATGAAGATACACTGACGTGAATTATAGAATCCCTGCTGCAGATCCAGCATGCAAATTGGAAATTAGCCATAAGGAAAACGTAACTTTGAAGCGAAAGAAAAATGCTTAGGACTTCAAGTTTTGATACGTAACGGTATTCTTACTCAACAAACTCAGCTTGGATATAATTTTGAATACATTCCTAGGAATAATAGATTAAAAGAATGTGAACATCCATTATTATCTTTAGATATTCAATCAAATCAATTTATGTAAATTGATGGTTATTTTCAATGTTCTCTGATATCTGAAAATATATTGGGGCATGATATAGATGTAGAAATTTTTTGTTTGATCTAATTCGATTATTAGTATGTTTGAAAACATGAAAAAAAATTATTTTGAGTGCCTCAGTGATTTGAATGAATATCGATTATTAATCATAAAAGCAACAGAAGAATGAAACTCCTTATAATTTGAGATTATTTGCGATAGAAATACACTGAATATTGAGTGCAAATTTGACGAATAATTGTGAGTTTCTGGTATTCTTTTCCAACAGTATCCATAATACGCTGAAAGGTAGAAAGGGCATTTTTCATGCCTAATGGCAATATGTCAACTTCCGAAAAATATTACCTTCACTCAATCAATCAGAATATTTACAATATTTGCAATAATATATAGATTCAAAGTCTATCGGAAAAAAATTGATGGAATATAAAAAAATCCGAAACTGAAATATTTGGATGAATTGATTGAAAAAAGAAAATGATATAGGAATGCAGGCTTTCGTGGTTAGCGTAATTTTTTTCTTCTTCTTCAAGATGTGTCAAGAAGAGTACTTTGACCACGTTACTGAATATGACTGCCGCAGTTACAATTGAAACGTCTGTTTTAACCAAAGAAAACCACTGCAAACGTGGAAACCAACCAAATCAAAAGAAAATGATATCAAAAAATGGGAAGAAATGTGGGTACTGAAATTGAAAGTGTGAGAACTTTATTTGTAAAAAACAATTTTGTGGACTGAGATGAAAAGGAATTATTATATGGATTGAACAATACAAACGTTAACAAATCTTTGCTGATGATTAAGATACAAATTATTATGATTTTTTTTATTCTCTCCTAGCTGTACCCATGATTCTCAGAAATGTGTGGGGGGCGTTTGATAAACCCAACGGTAATTCAACTTCAGGAAAAAAATTAGGAGAATTTTCCAAACTATATTCTAACAACGTTCAGTTGTTCAAGTGAATATTGCCAATAAAAATATTTATAATTTACTTTCGGCAACTTCATCGAGCCACTGAAGTCGGCTCGAAAATAAAACAATGGCATAGCGCGGAATTTTTTAGGACCGCTTGTCCGCTGCGAAGAGGTCGTTGCAAAGCCACAGCGAACATCAAATTAGGAAGAAGTTATAACAACTGCTTTCTTACGAAAATCCCGATAAAAAAGTTTTTCTTGCCGTCGTAAATTCGAAGCTGGTTTACGTGAAATTTACACGGACGTAACGGTCAGTACGAAGAATTTTTATTCGACAAAAAACTGAGGTATTTATTTTCTCTGATCTTGTTCCGGAGAGATGGTATGGGAAATATTCCGGTGGAACGGTATCCTTGCGGAACTGTAATGTCTGAAGCTATGTAAAGATGAAATTTTGAAAGATTTTGAAAGATAGCGCACTCTGTTCACAAAACCACAGCTAAGACACGGTAACCTTTTGATCATTCCACCAGCCGACGGGACACAAAGTCTTCAGAATGTTCCTCGTTTTGAAAATCAAGTTTTTATTTTTTTGATATCGACATAGTTGTTATTTTGTTGCGGTTTTGTCCGTTTGGTGGAAATCTACTTTGGTTTTCAAGTAACAAATATCATAAGAAAATAAACTTGGATAGAAAGAGATATTTGCGTTCTGTACTTTCAGTTTCACCCTTTCTCTAGCATATTTATCAAGATTTGTTGGCCAACACTCACTCACATGTAATTATTTACGTACTGGCAACCATACATCATACTTATATCGACCAGTATTTCAGCTAGGCAAATTAAAATGAATACCCCTTCGCTGGTACTCAGCTTCCAATAAAATAGTGACGCACAAGCAATAATTAATAAATAATTAGTACCCCAGAGACGCGTGATATATTCGACTCCTCCTATTTTACGCATTTATTTCAATTTCATATTTATTGGAAAGGAGAACGTGCAGTATTCTATCTCCCTAATTTATAGCTTAATCGATAGCGGAGAAAAGCAGCGTTAAACGTGAATTATTTATGACCGAATATGACAAATTTCATGTTTCGTGACATACAAGCACTATGTTTCTTTGTAAGTGGGTATAATTATAAAATGGAAAAAATGCGATTTTTCAAATTCAGCTACAACTCGGGGTGATGAATTGTTAATGGAGACATGCTTCAGGAACGGTTACCCCGCTTCTGAAAATTTTGCCGCGCTTCTGAAAACATTAGAAGCGAAGTTTTATTTTAGGATCAGATGCAATTTCAGTAGTAATCGTGAACCTATTGAGTGCTTTTGATCTACCCACATACATACCTCATCTATTTCAAATTTCTCTTCGTACTAATTTGTAGTGAATAGGATTACTTCCTTCCTTTCTTTGGAAGATTCCCTCATCCTTTTTTTGTATCAAGATGGAGTAGTAGGAAGCCAAAAACTTTCTTTCCCAAAAAGGAAAAGTTAGTTCTGCAATTAAAACCAGAGCCCAAAATATAACTCTCCAGAACTACCAGACAGTGATGTTTCGACCCGCCGTATGCCTCATCAGGGGTGCATCACCCTCCATTGAAATCAAATCAAGTTTCAGTTGATATTGGAGTTCCATAGGGTTCTATTTTGAGTCCTGTGTTATTCTGTGTTGTTCCGATTCCACATCTGCAATTATATCAGACTGGTTGGAGATCGACTTGGAAATGTAATAGGGTAGTTTCTATGATGGATTACACAGGCCAACGATGAAAACACGTTTTTACTTAAAACACTGTATTATTCTGTTTTTTAGGGTGCTAAATCCAAATATGGCACTTATTAAGCCGTATCACCTACCATTTTTTCACATTTGCACATCAACATATTAAATTTTTTTGATTCATTACAGAATTCAACAGCTCTAATATACTACAAATAAAATTGTAGAATAATTTGTGCTGGATGTAGAAGAGTTGGCAGCACTGCTGAAACACATTTACCGTCCAGAAAAAGGGGAATTATACTGTTCTGTTCACAGCTGATGTTTTGTTTACTGTCAACCTAACCTTACTTTCTGGTTTACAGTACATGTGCTCAATAAAATGTCGAATCGCGGTTGTAAGAACTCTGCTGACAGTTTTTGTTATATTTGTGGCGAGTTTGTTATTGAAAAACATCAAAGAAATATTACAGACTTTGTGAAAAAGGTTTATTTCTCATATTTTGGAATTAAACTTGGTGATCAGGATACATCTTGAGCCCCGCACAAGGTATGTTATGTTTATGTTGAAGATCTTGGAAAATAGTCAAAAAAGGAGAAAAAAGCCTTCAAGTACGTTGTTCCTATGGTATGGAGGGAACCTAGAAACCACACTGATGATTGCTACTTTTGTAGTATTGATATTACTGGCCATAACTCGAAAAACAAGAAGGTAATAAGCTACCCTATCCTAATTTCCGCCATCCGACCAGTAGGGCACGATGTAGATTTTCCGGTACCAGAACCTACCAATGATTTGAATTCTGTTCAAACTGAATGTTTTCTGATGTACTGTCAGATATAGATGAGCAATATGATGAAGAGTTCCAATGTGCTACAGCGAAAAATGAGCCTAAACTGTTTACTCAGATTGAGCTTAGCGACTTAGTTAGGGATCTTGGGTTAACAAAAGGCAAAGCTGAATTGCTTGGTTCTAGACTGAAAGAAAAAAACTTGTTAGCAGTTGGAAGTAGCATATATGTGTATAGGATGAGAGAGCAGTCATTTTCGAATTTTTTTGAACAAGAATGTCATTTAGAGTAGTGCTCAGACATTCCAGGTCTGATCAAAGAGTTTAAAAGCTGTTTCATTACACAATAGAAACACTAATGCATCTATACTTGTCGGCCATTCTGTACATATGAAAGAGACCTATGAAAACCTAGAAATACTGTTGAATAAAATTAGCTATTCGGCTCATGAGTGGATATGTTTCTTGATCAGCAAGGCGGTTTTACCAAATTTTCATGTTTTTTGTGTGAATGGGACAGTAAAGCAAGGGATCAACATTGGTGCAGAAAGAACTGACCTGTAAGGGAGTCTTTAAAACCCGGCAAGAAGAACATCATCTGTAACAATCTTGTAGATCCCAGAAACATTCTTTTACCACCTCTACATATAAAGTTAGGCCTCGTGAAACAGATTATGAAGGCATTGCCTAAAGATGGACCTTGTTTCAAGCTTCTCTGTCAGAAATTTCCCAACCTTCAGAGGCTAAACGAAACTTACTGTTCCTTTATCCAATAAAAACAAATATTATATGAAAAGGCAGAAAAGGTAATAAAGATTTATCTTGGTTGAATTTTTAAATTAACAAGCATCTTGTTTGGAAACTATTACTGTGAAATTATCTTCAAGTTGAACTCTGTAACATATTTGTTTTATGATCTGTAATCGATGTTAAATGTCAATTATATTTTCCTGTACGTATTTTTAGCTCAACACTGAATGTTTTCAAAAGACTCCAATCAAATTTGTTGCTACTTTTGCAACATACAATTCAAATTAATATCGAAATTTATTGTTACATTAAGAGGCATGCGTTCATCAACCAAATCAAAAATTATTCCGAAACCTTTTTGTTAATTTATTACCGATTCAATAAAAACGAGCCTTCTATAACAATCATCTCAACATTTTCAACCCTTCTAAGCTACTCCTCATCCTCGTAACCGTCTGGTAAAGGATTAACCCTGGGATTGTGAAATAATGTCCTCTGTCCATCCCCCCAAGGAAACCTCTTGGTCCTCCTCCTCAAATACTCGTACTTAACGAAGGGTGGTCTGCCACCGCACTCTCCCTCCTCCTCAATTTTCTTCGCCAAAATAGCATTCAACGTCGCTAAAGCTATCAAGGGCACTCCAACGAAATAGAAAAGATTCTTGTACAATTTGTAGCTCCCCTCTTTGGAATGGGGAGGAATTCCGCTCACTATTAAAGGACATTCTTTCTCTTTAGTTTTGCCAAAGTGAGCGCTTCTTTTGACGACACTTTGGAACAGATTGTTCATAGTTGCAGCGGTATTTTGGAATTTACACAGGAATTTTGAATGATTTGGTTCTGAAGTTTATGACGTTTTGACTGTTTGGGTGACAGGAGTCATTGAGGTGGGATGGAAGGGATGAGTCAGATGAATCATCGGTGCAATAGAAAGGATGTACTAAATGTAACTTTGCTAGGTATTCACAGAAAAACTCTTCCCAGTTTGAAGAGTGATTGGTTGATAACAAATTATCATTTCGAGCGATTAACCCCCTGAAGCTCTGGTCTCAGATTGAAAGATACTTGTTTTCATTTGGGGTGCTTCTTACAGGCGAATTTTTTGGCTTTGAAAATCAAAAAGTGGTTACTTTCAGAAACAACACCAACTTTAGCACATCCTCCATCTATTCAGCCGTGTTTATTTTTGGAATTGTGGAAAAGTTAATACCCAAACAGCAAGAGATGATTTTTCGATATCCCTGCTCATGTTTTTCAATTATGTAACAATGTTTCGTAGTTGTTTAAATGGTGTTAGTCGGACATATAACTTCAATGTTGCTGAAAACGTTTGAAAAACCAGAGAAACGACAAATCAAAAGCTTCAAAAGATTCAATCATGTCACGGTATAACTCGAAAGTTTTTTTTAAAAAAGCTTCCAGAGAATTGAGCCATAGAGCCAAATTTAAATTCGGCACTATGTCATTTCAGTGTCCTAAACCCAACCTAACCTTCAATTTTCAAGTTCCTCAACCTAACCTCAATGGTTCTAACCTCTGATTAGGTAAGATAGGTAATTGGTAAGATAAGCAATTGGTAATAAGATATAAGCAAGATGTTACATCATATAAACTCACCCATAGTGGTAACAGATGGAAAACTCATAAGCATTATCTTATGACTTGAAACTTACGAATTAGAACTCAAGACTGCTGAATCAACCCTAACTCATATCCACATTTGTTCCTACATTTTCCAAACCTCAAGCAGCATCTAACACAAAGCAAATCAATACTCCTAATAAGATATCCGCCATACAATTCATGTCCATTGCTGGGGCTAGCAACGCTGTTAGTGCCGATAAAAAGCCAAAAGCACTACGAGATTATAGAGTCTCCCTAATTGACCATTACTACAATTTCTAGCAGGGGCACCATGCTTCATAAATTGTGACTCGTAATTAGTACATACAAATGCAGAAGTCGAGTATAGTCCATTTTGAGCAGCGGCGTACCAGAGGTTATCGAAAATATAAGCACTCTAGGGCAGTTTGGTTTAAGTTATCTGGAGACAGCAGTCTCCTAGTATGAGCAGATGAACTTTCCACATGACTGCAGTATCATATATACGCAATTATTGATTGTTTCAACACCATATGGGTATACTTTTACAGTCAACAATGATTGTTCTTTAATGTAAGTTTGGGTACATTTCAGATTCTGCTGAATTAAAGTCGTGGTGATGTGCGCTAAATGATTTTTTTTTCATTTTTAGTTGGATTTGGTTATACTTTAGGTTTGGTTTTGCAATGGTTTGTCTTCCAGTTTTTTTGTATTCTATCATTGAAAATACTATAAATACCCGTGGGTTGGGCTACCTATCGAGCGCGTTCCCAGGTGGCGGATAGGGGAACGACCAGGGGACTGGTGGCCCTGCCCGGAAAGACAATGTGGCCTTACGGACGGGGTCGCCGGACTCCTGGTCAGTGGCAAAAATAAGTAGGGTTAGGGGAAATGAACCCCCCAAAAGCCTTTGCGAAACATGCCATCGTGGACCAGCCTCCCTAAGCTATGGTAGCAGTGGCAGAAATAAGTAGGATTAGGGGAAATGAACCCCCCAAAAGCCTTTGTAAAACATGCCACCGTGGACCAGCCTACCCAAGCTATGGTGTAAGGAATCGTGCCGACAGCTGAATGGCTGCAGGTCACGAACGATCCCCTTAAGAACCTGGGCGAAACCTCAATGTAATCAGCCTACCTCTGGTAATGCGGGGCTCTGCCAGAGGTGACCAACTCTTCCCTTGCTACTCGTGGGAACACACATGAATGAAACAATAAAAACAAGAACCAATCCCGAGGCTGGACAGAAGTGCTCACCTCAATCTAAGACGGTGCCGGTGGTTGGGGATGAACAGAAATGTCCACCCCAATCTACCGCTTGGAATGAGGCTGGACATAGCAGATCACCTCCAACGGCAAGGGCACTTCCTGCGGCGGGCGCCAAGAGCTCCACCTTGAATAAAGGCATGTGCACCTCCACGGAGGGAATCCCAAGAAGGTTGAAGAAGCCGCGCAACGACAGTAATGCCGCTGCACCTTCCACCGTGAGACATCTCGAGGTTGCCAAAGAGAGTGTATGTACGGCGAGTCTTGGCCTACACCTGACGTCAATGATGTAAACTAGATGTACTACAAAAATAGATTGAGCCCAATTTTTTCTAAACCCTTTTTAAAATTCGTCAGGACGCCGCTGTCTAAGGTCGGTCACACCGTTTGTTGGAGTCTACAAAAAATACGGTCGGCTCCTCTGATAGGCCAATTACTGACTAATTATCAGGTGAAATTGCTGGAGAAAACTAATTGAATTATGTAAACCAATACTATTAGTTTTATTAGTGGATTTGTAATAGTTTCAGGCTTCATACTGAGTATCTGACATAATTGACCTGTCTTCAAGCAGTAATGACAGAATTTATGGAGGAACTGCTTGGCAAATCGATTCAAATGTTTAGGGGATGATGAGAGTAAGAAAATGATAGCAACGAGAAGTCATATTTTCATTCTGAAAATGAAAATTAAATTAGTAAATATTCTGTATGAGGAAAAGAAGCGAGCAATACAGAAAAGGATTGAATTTTAACGGCTGAGACCGGAAGAGATTAAAGAATTATAAGGAAATATGAAATAGAGAGAAAGAAAATTCTGTGGACAAAAGGAGAGCAGTTTCTGATTAGAATTTTGAAATATTTTCTGTCATTTACGTCACTAGATATCTTCGATAGCAAGTTTTGTGTTACATTCTCCGCTTTTTATTGCGGTATCGTCAGGTATTCAAAAACTTTACTGTATGTTTATCTTTCAAATTCATTGGGTATCAAAATTCAACAACTATCATGAACCAATTATTATAAAATGAAAATATTAGAATCAAATTGGTTTCTTGTATGTTTTTTAAGATATAAGACTATTATATTGATAGATAGGTATCCTCTCAGATCAGAGGGTCAGAGGGTAAGATTGTCGACACCATATGTAAATGAATATCAAATGAAAATCAACCAGGATGAGGTATCTAACCATGTCGTTATTTTGTAATAAAATCAAGCAAGGTGCTGTTTGGAAAAAATAATCACGCAGAAATCCAATTACCAAACAGCTCCAATCATTGAGTAATTCCTATTTTGGGAGTCTCTATTTTTTACTACCTGTACCATAAATAAGCTATCATCGTTTAAAATATTCAAAGTGAAGAGTTTTTATAATTATTTAATTAATTTATTTTTATTGCTCCATTGAAAAATGTCATTTTTAATTGTAATCGGTAATATTTCTCGCTGTGCCTTCGCGGCTGAAATTGATTAAAATACGATTGAGCGGCAATAAAAAAAACATTTTTGAAATGTATACTCACGAATAACCGAAAAGTGAGTTCTTTTGAATACAAATCAGCAGCTGGTGCAGCGTTTTAGTGTCTTTGAAGAAGTTTTCGAAAATTGGGTTGTAAAAATAATTGACTCGTGTAAAAATTGCTCGATGACTTCTGCTGATTTATGAATCATTATTTTTTTATTGCTAGATGTGATTTAATCACATTTCCAAATTTAAAAAACTTTCACAAGTATTTCTGATACCAATATGATTATAAAATAAGGAAAAAAGGTGCATACTTGAGCTTTCTAAACGATATAATCTCTGGAACAGGAAAAAGTCCTAGGGGGTCAAATCAGGTGAATACGATGGCTGAGGCATGCACCCAACCGATATACCGGCATCCACAGCAACTTCTCTAATAGCGATTCGGCGCTTCTCCATAACAATTTTCTTCACTTCCTCAACATTTTCATCAGTTGTTGATATGCTGGGGCGTCCATGGCGAGTGTCGTCATTCACATAATCTCGAACTTCTATGAAAAGCGTGTATCTAATGTATGTAGACCGCGAAGTTTAAACATTCACCTCAGTTCTTGAAGAGACCTTGTATTTTGTTTAATTATTTGAACAGAGAACACAGATGATTGATCAGTCAACTTAGACACCTCCATGATTCGAAATACGTAATAATTCATCGCAGATCGTTATTTTCCCTTTATCCGTTGGGGTAGCTTCTGCAAGCAGTACCAGTATATATCGAAAAAAAACAGACCACATGCTACCTCTAACATTGAAACACAGCTTGATAACCATCAATTAATAAGGGTTATATTCGTTGCAAAATAAAAAATAATAACAGCCTTCGATAGAAAAATATCCATTACCGCATGCAACAGTGTTATGTAATCCGCAACAAATAATTATTTTTAACGTATGCTGTTATTATTTTGCATAATATTGCTATGTGTAAAAAATCACGCAAGACGTTACTCATCAGGATGTCATTTCAGTAAATAGTGTTATTATTTTTTTAAGACGTTCCGTAGATCATAAAATCACGATCTAGGAGTATTAAAAAATCAAGAGTGAATCGATAATGCATCGGACATAGGCGTGCCTAGAAATTGAACAGACACACAAAAGAGGCGTCCGAAAATTCTAGCGAATATTTTCTAGACGTGACAAATAATCAAAATGTTAACTTGTGTATGTCACGACGAATTCATTATTTCGAGGACATAATTTTCACCTTTACCTGTAGTTCGTGTTCTATCTGTCTGTTGATTTGTATCTGTCTATCAGGATCCAATAAGTAAGAGCAATTAGTTCTATTGAAACACACTGGGCACACCGATACGCTCACAAAAACATTAGTTTCAGCTCTCACCATCCACTTTCCTTGCATTGAACAAAGAAGAAACATGTGTATTATCGCTAGTTCAGACCGTGATACTTTACGTCTTAAAGACGCATCTTTGACGGATATACTGTAAGAGGTACCATTATAATAGTACGATCATTGCCAGCAGATTA